ATTTGATGAATTTGTCTTATTAAAACAAATATAATTTACCTATTTAATTTTTATTTTAAATTTTAATTTTCATAGAGCTTTTAGTATAGTCTTTTCTATTTTCTCCAAAGTAAATGTTAATTATTACCAAATTTGTCAAACAAACAATTTTCTTTTTGTAAAATCTGCAAGGTAATAAAAATGTTTATATTCCATCAACGATAACTGAAATATATTACTTTATTGAATAAATTTTTGGCTGTTTTCTATTCTTCAAAGTTCAGTTACATTCAATTGCTCATAAGTTCATGAGTATCGGTATATTAGTAGCACACATATTTAAATCAACATCATAATTACCCTTTTCCAGTAATATTGAATGTTCCTGTTCATATTCTTTTGACAATTTGTATTCCATAAGTTTCTTTAAACGGATGTGTGAACAGGCATTCAGATTTCATTCTCATTTCCGACAATAGTTCGACATCGTCCGTGCAAAAAATTTAATTGCTCTTCAATAGTTGTTCGGCATTTTAATTGGCAAATTTCTCTTTCAATTTTATTTAATTGATTAATGAAATCGTGATGCCTATCATTCTCGTCACAAATGCTCCACTTTGATTATAATGCTAAAGCAATACATCTTTATATTAAATTCAGTAAGTAACATAAGTCTAAAAAAGACTTCAACCCTTCGGAGGGCATATAAAGATATGGGAAAATTTGCTATATTTAAGTCACAGTTCACGCTATGATTATAGGTACAGTCAAACTATCAAAAAAAGCATTACGACTTATCTAATTACAGCTTTTGGTAGTCATTGTGGTATTTCTACAAACGGTGCTAGCTGATCCTAAAGCGGATCCCGTTGCTTCACCTGAACCTTGGAGATCAGGATGGGGAGGTTATCGCGGTTATGGCGGTTGGGGTTACAGACCGTACTATAGACCATATGGATATGGCGGTTACGGCCGAGGATGGGGAGGTGGATATGGGAGAGGATACGGATACGGAAAGGGATGGGGTTGGGGAAAATAATGACGAAAGGATTCACGGCAAAAAGGCGATAACGGAGAGTTTATTGTAATAATTTATACAAGATACTGTCTTTTTTACAAAAAATAAAGCAGTTCTATGTTTTATTACCATCTTTCATTGTACAATCTCAAATAAATAATTTCCTTTTTCATTAAATTTAAATACAAAATGCAAATACTTTATTGATTTGTTACCTGTTTAATTAATTATATTTACTTAAGAATAAAATATTTTTTAAGAAAAACTTGCAGG